TGTGTGTGTGTGTGTGTGTGTGTGTGTGTGTGTGTGTGTGTGTTTTAAAGAATACATGTTCAGTTATAATGTATTTTGCAGTGTTCTTAATCCTTTTAAATAGTCACATTTTTGGTAGGTGTTTTCGTTGTGGAGACAACAAGTCCCCATAGAGCTAATCTCACTTCTGAGACCATATAGCAGCTGGATAGCGTACTGGTAACACTACACCTACTACACTACAGGAACAACATCCGAGATCTCTGTCCAGAAGAGTGCAGTCCGAGGAACATCAAAAAGATACTGCGCGGGACACTTAAGCTCCCAGGCCTCTGGTAGACGAACCAAGCAGTTTCAAATTGTTCTTTTTCCATCAAAAATCTCTTCATCAAAGTTTAAAATCACTCTGTTAAAGGCCTGATATCATGGAAACACCTCAGAAAACTTGAAATGTAAATAACCTGTATAATAATAATAATAATAATAATAATAATAATAATAATAATTGAGGGAGAGGGTCTATCCTAGCTGTATTTAACTAAATGTACTAAATGTAATTAAAACTTGATATGAATATTTCAAGGAGAAGTAGGTCTAAAAGATTGGCTAATTTAAAGTGGAAAAAAATATTAATATATAGATATTTTATGGCACTTTTCATGGTGTGGTCGATTTGTGGCTCTAAGCCCAATAGTGTATGCATTTTTCTAGGACCCCCCAGAGGTTAATTGAATGAACTCCATTTTTGAACTTTTTGATAAATAAAGTTTATCTCATGTGAATACCAGAAGGCAGTCTCTGAGTCATGTGACCAGGGCATCCATCCCTTCCACTAGTGGAGTATAAAAAAGTGCTTCTTAAAGACTCCTCTCGGAGCTTTCTAACTTCTCGGCAACACAGAGATTCCTGAAATAAACAACGCTGGTAAGACAATGTTAAAAACTTTAAACGAATAATTGTGATATGTGATACAGTTTTAAATGGCAATACTAGAACTAATAAATATAATAGAACTTCTTTTCTGGCTCATGATCTTGTCAGCATTTCATTTGTAGCATACTGTATTTAGAGGTCTCTTTCATAGTTTAGTTAAGTACTAATTTATATTTTCTTTACTTGACTTTAATTAAATTGTTTTCAATGCTGAAACTTTTTGTAGAACCTATAAGCCATGTGAAACAGATATTTTACTTTTTGCAAAATAATAATGCAATATTTTAAGAAAGGTTTATTTTCTATCTGTCTATCGATCTATCTTTGTGTGTGAGTGTAATAAAATGTAATGTAATATGTATATGAAATAAAATATTTTAAACTGTGTTATTTTAACTAAGTTGTAATTACTTAAGTTCACTTATGGCCAAATGTAAAAAATTACCTTCATTTATGTAACATGTTCCTTTTTCCAATTTAATGACCAGCATCTGTTTCAGCTTGGCCTCGTGGAGATTTCTGTACCACCTAATCACCTCATCACCATGGCTACGTGAGTAACATACAGTTAATTATTTACACATTGTCCAAAATACAAACAATCATTTGTCATGCTAAAATTCCTCTCCAGGCTAAACGTGTGAGGAACTGGGAGTACTCTTTTCATTCACTATTCAACCACAAACCTGCTTTCACTCTACACCTCATATAGTTGTTTCACCGTTTTTACTTTGGTCGTGTTAATTCAAGGTGCTGTTCACTGAGTTATGTTAGTATCTATCTATCTATCTATCTATCTATCTATCTATCTATCTATCTATCTATCTATCTATCTATCTATCT